CAGGACCAATTCCCAGTTAAATCATCCCAGCCAGGGCTTTGTCAAGCCTGACCTTAAAAACCTCTAAGGAAGGAGATTCTACCACCTCCCTAGGTAACGCATTCCAGTGTTTCACCACCCTCTTAGTGAAAAAGTTTTTCCTAATATCCAATCTAAACCTCCCCCACTGCAACTTGAGACCATTACTCCTCGTTCTGTCATCTGCTACCATTGAGAACAGTCTAGAGCCATCCTCTTTGGAACCCCCTTTCAGGTAGTTGAAAGCAGCTATCAAATCCCCCCTCATTCTTCTCTTCTGCAGGCTAAACAATCCCAGCTCCCTCAGCCTCTCCTCATAAGTCATGTGTTCTAGACCCCTAATCATTTTTGTTGTTTACATGCTGCATGACTGCTGTATCCATTTTAACAGTGATCCATCTATTTGCCCAGCCATTAGGGTTGCTTGTATACAGGGCAGCTCCAGTATATGCTTTCTGCTTCTGCCTACTACATCTACAGAGCACTATAGCAATTCAGAACTAGTATTTAACTTTATCCTGAAACTGTGGGAATAGTTCCAGTATGTGTCTTCTTCTTGGAAGACTACCTCTGTTCTTTCTTGAACTGCATAGTTTTTCCAGTTAGCAGCAAAATGCACTTCCACTAGCCTTCCAGGAACTGTACTTCCTGGCTTGACTATACAGATATCTGTTTGTCATAAAATATAGTGAAATGACTTTTGTGTGAAATAGACCTTGTTATTTCGGCCCAGCAACTGCAGTTGGAGGCAAACAAAATTAACAATTCCATACAGAAAAGTAATTTGGCATATTTCACTGATGAACAGGAAGAAATTTCAACTTGAAGTCAACTGTCCTCCCAAGATTAGAAATAGTCAGACTCCAGCTGGCCTGATGGAATTTTTGGTCACATCAATGTATCAGTTACCAATGGTATCCTGCTAGGATCTCATTACCAAAAAAGCCCCCTCTATTTATTTCAAATAACAGGAGAGGGTGATGAGGAAAGTTTAGGTGTGGCTGGGTCAGAAGTGGAGGAAAAGTTTGTTTTAAACTAAACTACTCTTTCTTCCATGAAACCAGCAACCCTTTAGGCTGAAACACTTGTAACTAATTTTGTACTGTAATGTATTTGTACATTTGAGGAACTATTCAGCGTAGTTATATAATGAAGAGTGTGTTGAAAGTGACCAGAAAGTTGAAGATAGGTGAGGTCACAAACTGTTGCTCAACGGGCATCCAAAGTCATGAGGTTTAGGAGAGGGAGAAGAGGCTTAGAGGGAAGAATTTTTGAGTGCTTGGGACCCAACAATTTAAATTAACCTCAGTGCATTGTATGTGAATCACACTGTACTCCTGGGGGAATTCTGTGCCACTGCAATGCAGAATTTTGCAGAAATTAATGTGCACGCAGAATTTCCTTTCCCTAGCCGCCACTAGGGGCACTGGACTTGGCAGAGCCAGCTTGCACATAGAAGACACTACTGTGGGGAGAGAGAGGGAGCTAGAGGGTTCCTGGCAGCTGCAGTTCCCAGCATGCCCTGAGGAAAGGAGAGGGCGGCGCACAGGAAACTGTGCAAGTCTGGGACTGAGCATCAGGCTGTTTCTCCCTCTGGATCCCTGGGCTCTGGGTTGGAGGGGGATGGGTGTCTGGGAAAAGGGAGCCCCCCGCAGCTGGGCTCTGTGGGAGGGAGGGGACGTGGGTATCTGGGTTGGGTGGGGCCCACAGCTGGGCTCTGGGGGTGGGGGAGAGAGAGGATGTGGGTATCTGGGCTGGGGGGGTCACAGTTGGGCTCTGGGGAGGAGATGGTTTGGGTTATTGGCTGGGGGGCTGCATGTGGGCTCTTGGGGGGAGGGATTGTGGGTGTCTGGCTCCTCGTCTGGGCTCTGGAGGAAGGCACGGGAGGGGACAGAGAAATAGGAACTGGGTTGTCATAGGGGTTTCTTTAACTCTCTACTCCCAGAAAAATTTGTGTGTGTGTCTGCATTGTTACAGACATACTTGCTGACAGGTATTTTGAAATAAATTACCAAAATAATTGAAACTGGCATGATTATGTAGTGTTATTTTGACAAAATTTGCAGAATTTTAAAATATTGTGCACAGAATTTTTAAATTTTTGGCACAGAATACCCCTAGGAGTAACACTGACTATGTTCAATAAATAAAGAACACGCAGAAAAAGCATACAAAAATGTAACAAACAGTGGAAATAGTAGAGAAGCTGTATTTAAAAAAATTCCCTATATTCTCTTACCCTGCTTCTCCTGTGAAACTATATTTCATAGTGGAAATATGTACACCAACTCTTAGAAAACTGGATTTTTCAACAGATTTAAAACAATTCAGGAGCCAAATCCCAATAAAAATAAGCCATGCCAAGAGTGTGAATTAGTGAATGACTGGTGCATTTCTGTGCTTTCAGCCTTCAACCTCAGAACACACTCTTGTTGTGCACCAAATTGCTAACAAACACACACCCTGCTGTGGCTTATTGATATACTAAAACACAAAAACTAAAAAACAACAACAACACAGAACTACAGTGAAACCATGAGTGTTATTGTATTTCAATGCACTACCATTTTATGCCCCAGATGGCTGTGAAAGACACAAGTGGACAATTCTGCCAACCCTAATACTCACAGTGTAAAATACCATTCAATGTGAGAAAGGGTTGCTCAATCTGTTCCTAAATTGGGAGTGTAGTGGCTATATATACACATCATAGTGCACCATCATCTGGAAGTGGGCCATGGGGAGCTGCTAATGAATTCAAACTCTGAGAGGAGAATTGCACTGTCTCAGTTCAACAGTTCTTGCTGACTGAGGCTAGGTTATAGCATGTAGCTAAACAGAATACTTTGTGAAACACCATTTACTGTCTGACTGGGTGATTGCAGCCTTCAACAGACACCAAAAAGTTTCTAAAAATTCAAGAGTACTAAATCACAGAATTCCTGCTTGGGTCAGAAGCGGCTCTTGAAGTATACTTGTATTAATTATTTCACACCATTTTCAGCAGAAAAGTGATTTTTTAAAAAAATCTAAAGCTCATTTGAAGGATTTCTTGGGGAATATTCAAAATACTAAAAAATAAAACTACCCATCTCAATAAACTTAACACTGAGTGGAATTGTGTGACTACACTCCATAACTCTCTTATTAGAGGTTATTATATATTTTGTCATGGCTAGAGTGATGTTTCCACAAAGGACATTTTTCTACACCTTTTATTTTTGCTGTGAATTTTCTTTGTGATTCACAAACACCAGATCCAGCATGTCCGCTTCTAAACTGTTGCATTTTAAAATATCTTCACAAGAATGTTAATTAGCTGTGAACACGTGTTAAGCCAGTTTTTTAGGAAAGAGCATGACATTTTCAGACACTGGTGAGTTTCCAAGTGTGGGGGGAGGGAGGAAGGAAACTTCTGTGTTTTATGAAATCAGGATGATCTCTGTTCTGCACTGTATCATAGAACATAAGTCTATGGTCTCCCAACATTTTTACTCCAGATGGCTAAATGCAGTGCCTTGCATAATGACAGGTTTCAGAGTAGCAGCCGTGTTAGTCTGTATTCACATTCGATGAAATGAGCTGTAGCTCACGAAAGCTTATGCTCAAATAAATTGGTTAGTCTCCAAGGTGCCACAAGTACTCCTGTTCTTTTTGCGAATTCAGACTAACACGGCTGCTACTGTGAAACCAACATTTTTAGTGTCCACTGTCCAGTAATGCTGCTGCTGCCTTGGGTGGCCAGGTGAAAGTCTGGTCAAAAAGGGGACCTAACAGTGTCCGGTCAGATCTGCTGACCATACACCCAAAGTCCAGTTACTGTGAGCAAGGGAGGTTGGGAGGTGCTGGGTCATTATCTGCATCAGCCCCTACTAAGCTGGGGCTGCCTCCTGCCTGCATCGGGTGAGTGCAGCTCCCAGCCCCGGCTCCTCAGGCAAGTCCTTTCCAACCTGGGCGGGGGATGGATGGGAGGGGAAAAGCAGTGAGCGACGGGGGGAGAGGAGAAGAGGAGTGGACAGCGGGTGGAGCCTTGGGGGAAGAGGCAGGGCAGGGAATGTTCGGGCACTCCTGCTGGAGTGTCCGGTTTTTAAATATAACCAAATTGGCAACCCTAGTGTCACCCCCTTGGCACTAATAAATAATAATATATCATTTTCTGTAAAGAGTGCTTTATATGCTCCAACACTAAGTAGCCTTGTGAAGTAAGTGTTATCCCCATTTTACAGATGGGGAAACTGAGGCTGAGAAGTGAAGTTACTTGGCCAAAGCCATAAACAGTAGCAGAGATGGGAAAAGATCTCAGGAGCTCCTGTGCCTAACCCATTAACTGTTCTTTACTCTGGATCATACTGCTTCTCAACGACAATCTCAGAATCTGATCCAAAATCCACTGAAGTTAACAAAAAAGACTCCAATTTACTTCATTGATCTTTGGATCAGGCTCAGGGTCTTGTAACAGGAGACAATATCCATGAGTGGTCACCATGCCACTGCAGGTAATCTCTCACACAGTCAGGCTCGCCAGGGATTAAAAGCACAACACATCTTATCACTCGCAAGAGGGAAAATGTATAGCAGTGTATTCAGTGTGTTCTGTTCATAAAGAGAAGGCTACCCCCATATAGTAACTTATTTACAGCACAGCAGACAAGGTAAATAGGTAACAGAGAATACCAAAACTAAAGAAACCCTGATGAACTCCTCCTCACCAACAGCATCTTTAGCAAATATTTCTCATGTTCTTCTTTCAGTGAGTGCTATTAACATAACTGGGCACATTAAAGGCAAATCAGGGGAAAATATCTTACAGTTCCATAAGGCCAAATCCTTCACCAAGAAGTTTTTTTTGGGCTAGGAGCCAAGGAATTCTATTCTCTGCCACCCAGGTTGCTTCTGTATCCGGGCTAGAGCAGACCTGCTTTGTTTGTGTTCTTCCTTACAGGGACAAGGAAGCAGCAGATCCACCACACTCTCTTCAGTCCCATCCCCATTTACAGATACACAAGAAGCTACAACGGAATATGGAGTAGGTGTGCAGCCTTTTCTCAACTCTTGCTTGGCAGCAGATCAGAATCAGTTCCACTGCAAGAGGGTCACCTCCATATTTGAGGATGAAAGGGTGAAGTTTTTCCCCCGGATGAACAAAATTCAAAGGGACCCACTTAAAAATTTAAAAACTAGTTACCCTAACAATAGGCCATAGGAATAGTAGTGAACTCAGCATCTGGACTCCAGGATAGTAGTGAAAAGTAGAATGTAGGCTGCCATGATCTATTATTGCAGAAAGGAGGTCTATTTCTAATACATGCACTATTTAAATGGAGAGATTTCTAGCTAATCTTAAACCATAACCTGCTTTACTCAGGCAAATTCTCATGCATAAAACAATGTAATTATTAGCTTTTAATTGCATATTCACTGGTAAAATACAACAGATGATGGGACAGAACAGAATAGGAACTACATGCAATAACTCTGATGCTACTCTATGGCGACCATAAAAAGCTGAGTTATTGATGGATGGTGAAAAGATCCAGTTAGATTGTAAATGGAGGTATGGCTTCGAGGTTGAATCAAAGCTAAGGTTTTGGCTGAGATCTGTCAGTGCTGACATCTCACAAGCTGCTCTTGTGAGATTTCAATTAATTCAAACCCCAATGAGAGGCCCTTTCCAATCCTGGATACAACCCAGAACTAAACCTATATTGGAGGGCTTGGGTCTGGAGATTCAAATGCAAACCCTCTCACAAACAACAGAAAAAAACTTTAGCAAAAAAATAAGTGGGGCACGTGAGAGAAATTCCAATTCCTCCGAGGTTAAACTGAATTGCTCTGACAAGAAATGAATGATATTAAAGACACAGCAGAGAGATGAACAGAGAAAATAGTGGCCAGGACCTCATCAGCATAACAAAGCTGTCTTAAAAGGACAGTGTGGGCCAACTGCAGAACAGAGCAACTAGAATATCTGGTCAGAGCTAAAACATTCTGGAATTCTGGGTATTCAAGATGACGAAAAGTTTAAAGATTCTATCGGAGCCTGTGAAAAAAAATCCGTAGGCTAAAAACTCAGTCTGAATACTAGGGAAGATCCAGTATATCTTGAACAATGTGTTGTCTTGTACTTAAGACACCACAACAGGCGGTACAGTAATTGTTACATTATCTGAGTGGTGGGAGCCAAGAGAAAGACTCCTGTTTACAGGTATGAAAAAAGATAATCACTGACAAACTCAGTTAATGTTCCCAGACATAAACCTGGTGGCACAACAAAGAAGAAAAGCACTTAACACTATAAAGAGAGATTTTATTGATGAAGGTCTCTACCTCAGTCCTATTCCCAGAAAATCTTCAAGTAATGTACTCAGAAAAGACTATTTATTTTGGGATGTTGTCTCAGCAATGCAGTAATGAAAGAAAGCCAGAGAGGAAAACATCTTGGAAGTGGATGGATCTGACATTACAATGAAAACTTGGAAGAAAATCAAAACTAAAGAAACTGAAGAATTTTGCATGGTCGGTAACTCAGTAAAATAAAATGCCTTGAATAAGAACACCTTAGAGGTCAATTTTGCAAACACTTAGGGCCTGATTCATGGTTACCTTACACTACAGGCTCTTTGCCCAGACACTGCTGCACTGGCCCTCAAGGCAACACCTCTAGCTCAAGAAGCCCTCACGTGAACCTGCTCCGTGACCCTTTCTCTCTCCATCTTAGAGGTGTCCAGAGCAGGCTGAGATTGTGGGAAGGGAAATTCTTAAACCCTTTGAAATTCTGTATCCATTTCCTGGGAAACATCCCCACCAAGAACATGACTAACTTAAAGGTAAAGGTTACTAGACTGAATTTTCCACCAACACAAATGATAAAAAGCAAACAGGAAATAAGCAGCTCTGGTGTTCAACACCCCCTCTGCTTCTCAGCCTCAGCTAATATGCAGCCTTCATCCTGCTCAACCAATATGCATCCTTAACTGAGACCATAACTCTAACACAAGCACAACACACAAATGCAGCTTTAAATACTGCTTAAAAATTCATACCCACTTTGAACAATACCTAACATAGACTGCCCATTCACATACACCTTCCAAAACATTACAGAACAAATCACAGCCAGCATTTACTACTTGACCATGTCTCACCAGCACACAACAAAAAACTATGGACAGCGTAGTTTATGAAAGCTGCATAAACCCTACATTAATACACTGAAACAGAGGACCACATCGTCAGTAAATGTGGTCAGAATTCAAGAGTGCCCACTGGTTGTTCAGGATGAGGGTGGAGATATGTTGAGGGCGAGGTCCTTGTTTTTACAGTTTGTGTTGGTAGGCATGCTACTGAATTACCTTTGCTCAAAGTTAAAGTTTTCTGTGTCCTCCTCTAATGCACTATCAACATCCTAACTGTAATAACAGTGAAATTAAAACCATACTGCAGATTATCTAATTCTTTCATTACTGCTTTGTCTACTGAGTTTTTCTGATATTTTCTCATATTTGCTCTTTGCTTCTTCAGGTGGGCAGCAGCAGGTATGTTCTCCAAAGCTGAATTGCCCATGTTCTAGTTTTAGACCAGCTGTTGCCACAAGGAAGTTTAAAAAGCTTCTCTGTATCAGCAGCGGTGATATATTAAGAGCATTGCTAGATTGGTATTACAAACTCAAACTCATTCTCCTCCAGACATTCCAGGATGAGATCTTGAATAAACCAGCTCTATCTATTTAAATACCTTAATAATCAGCATACCAATAATCAGCAGTTCAATTATATAAGGATTGGTACAAATTTAATCCAGCTCTTAATAGCTTTATCTCTTTGGTTTACACAGCTGTTTCAAGGCAGGAACTTCATCTTTCAACTGCTCCCAAACTGCAAAGTAAGCAGATTTCATATTTTTGAATGTGCTGCAAGAAAGTGTGATGTCAAAATTTGCATTGCTTTGTAAGGAAACTGTTTAGTATAGATTGGCACAAAATTATACTTTAATAATGCTCGATCCTGTGTTATATGAAAAGATTACTGACGTAATCATTTATGATCTGTCAAGGCCATAACACGAATGGTTAGTACAAAAGTAAAAGTAAAGTACAACTGTAACAGCTTTCAGAAGTGAATTATGTATAAGATGTACCTGATCTAGATTTGCTTGAGGGAAAAAATCATAGCACCTATTTACATACTTTCTGTATGCAATATACAAGATTTTTTTCTCTAATTCTTTCTTCAGAAAACATATTCATAACATCACTGTTGCTCACTTTGAAATTGTCACTGAACTGAAATCCATACAACCACACTGAGAATGCCTATACCTTCATAAGTCTGTAGTCTCAAGCAATAAATTAAGAGTCTGATTCTCAGACATCACAGCATCTACAGCTCCCATTGACTTCATATGGAAATGTGGATGTTCAGCATCTCAAAAATCAGGTCTTAAATGTATACCTAATTTTCAGAGTGGGGGAAAAAGATGCTTGAGGGAATTTTTAACAGAACATGGATCCTTTCCAATGACTGTTTGTGGCTGAATTCAGTCCAGATTAGTAACAGCTGAAGAATTTTGCCATCTCTTGGCCTATGTGAAAGGAATTGAAACGCCTATGTGAAAGTCCAGTTCCTGGAGGATCAGAAGCCAAATAATAAAGATCAGCCTCACGACTGCCATTTCTGTTGGCAGTCTTAGCAGATAAGTCAATAGGAGAACGGATATGAAGGCTGAAATGCTTTCTCATCCCTAGAGGTAGTTCCTGCACTACAATCATTGGCTAGTACTTATAATCACTTAAAATCTATCTTTCTCTAGTTAATAAACTTGTTTTATCTAAACCAGTGTGTTTGATTAAAGTGTTTGGGTTTGTGTTGCCATTTCCAGTGCTTGTTCTGTGGAGAGCTCTTGAGACTGAAATCATCTACCCATCTAGAACTTTCAACAGCAATACATTCATAAAAAATTAAATACTGACAATATTATTTTTCTTTAACACATATTACTGCCTAGGTATTCCTTCCAAAATATTTTTTTAAAACAACATAAGACATATATAACCTCATTCATGGAACTCACTGCCACGGGCTTGAGGCAAAGAGTTCTGTAGGATTTCAGAAATGATTATATATTTATATGATTAGTAAATAAATCCCCCAGTTACATTACAGATGATAAAAATCTATAAGGGTTATACACCCGTATGCTTCCCTGGACATAAAACCAAGTACTAAGTGTCTGGACTGTGGAAGAAATTCTTCTGTAGGCCTAGTATTGGATGGTCCTTTATAACATGGAGCGTATGTCTTGCTGTGAAGCATCTGATATTGTCATTGTCAGAGATCGGTCTTGTGTTGGACCACTGATGTGATCTAGAATAGCAATTACAAGATCTCTGAAATCACGGAATAATTGCAGCATTCTAGCAGTTAGTACTTTAAATGCTTGGCTGAAGTGGGACATTAAACACATGCTTAAATCCCATTTAATGTAACTTAAGCATATACTTAACAGCTTGGTTGAGTTGGGACCTAAAATATCTAGTCACAATAACTGGAGTTAAGGTTAAAATAAGAAGCCTTATACATATCAAAGCAGCTGAACACAATAATGTTTAAGACAGTATATCTATATAGCAATGGTTTTCTCCTCATCTGAAAATATAGATAGAGGTTATTGAAAGTTATCAGAAAATTTCAGCTTCCCTGGGTCTTTGATAAAGGCATTCTGTCTTTTTAATGAACAAATAGAACTGGTTTGCCTAGTTAGTCTGGGTATATTTATATCTTAAAAGTAGGATGAAGCTTTAGCTGCACAGTCTATCTTAAAATAACAGGGACAGCTGGACCTTAAGTACTACTCGTTACCAGGAGACTGAGCTATTGTATTAGATGTGAGATCTAGTTATATGATTGCTAGTTTCTAACAGAACTCTTTTGACATGAAATTCTTAAACAAAAATGCTATGAAACTGTTTTTGATTGCAAACACTATTCCATGTGTGTAGTTTGTGTGTACAAACACTGAAATGCACAATCAAGATTTTCACATCAAGAAAAACCTTTAATTTGAATGAGACAAGTGGTTATAGGTAACATAGTTTATTGAATCAACTTCTGCAGGTGAAAGAGACAAGCTTTTGAGCTACATGGAGCTCTTCTTGCTTGAAAGCTTTCATGAACAGAAATTGGTCCAATAAAAGATATTACCTCATTCCCTTTCTCTCTCTAATATTCTGGGACCAACACCGCTCCAACACCACTGCAAACAACAATGGAAGATACTTAATTTTAATGGAAATTTGTGTCTAAATCTCCTGAAATGCTTTGAACATCTCATCAGTAATGTCTATACAAATATACAAACTGTGTTTACATGTAACTCTTTGATTATTATTGAGGTTACATTAGGAAGGACACATTTTCGGTGGACCAAGCTGAATCTTTAAAAACTATGCATCATGATCAGAGACGAGATACTAGATATTATATCTGCAGTCAAATCAACTGTGAGAACAGTGGTTTCCAGTTTAGACACTTCTTCAATGCAAACAAAAAATGAGGTGTTTTTACATTAAGACACTACACCACAAACACATTCTCCCAAATATGAATGTTTATACAGACAGAAGATATAGGGGTGGCAACAGTGTATTATATCCAAATGCATTCTCTCTCATCTCTTGTTTATTTGTGAGGTGTCCCTAGTCTACACCTCACAGAATAACGTAAGCCTCTAAGTCAATAGTATTTCCGCCAGTAAAAGCAATAGACATCTTAGCTAAATGTAAAGGAGAAATTTCCTAAGATGTTTACAATTTCTGTTTCTCCTCTGTTTTTTGAATTTTGTAATTATACAGAATATGGTTGGGTTGACTTTCATCTGGTGCCTGTGAGAAGGTTTACAGTTATGGGGACTTCTACAATATTTTGGTTTAGTTTGACTGAAAAACTGAGAAAGCAGCAGAAGTACAAGGAGGAATTGTGCTTACAGTGTGTGGGGAATAAGACTCAATGTCTCAAATACCGAGTATTTTTGCCCTAAACGTGATCCTTCTTCAGAGTTATTCTGTGTTGAGATTCTCCGTTGTAAGCCACAGGGTCATATGAACATGTCTTATTGATCAGCATGGAGGGAACTGTGAGGAACTGTTCAGGGCAAAGTTCCCTAACTCAGCACACAGGAATTTTTGCAGCCTAAGGCTATTAATTATGTATCAACACAGCCTTATAAATAGCAGGTGTTTAGAACCTTATATTTTACAGTCTCCAGTCCCACAATTACTTGTAGTGCATCAGGGTTTGGGAGGATTCTAGTGTTAACCGCCTGAACTAAACTATAATAGGTAATGCTGCATTTTTCACACTAAAACTGAAAGCCAGCTAATTAAGAAGTGACTGCTCCTCTTACCAGGTCTGAAGGAGGTTCAGATAGTCTTCTGCCCTGCCTCTAATTAAAGTGAATAGTGAAGCCTTTTGATATTAATGTATGTGAGAAGTGGAGAATTGATCATGATTTGTGGAAGGTTGTACTTTAGCTAACAGAGGAGTTGTGCTAAAATTACTTGAAGTGTTTATCCTGTAGCTCTTGAAACACCTGGAGATAGTGCTGACTATGCTAATCCATGTCATTATCCGTGTAATAAAAAAGACTTACTGCTATGGCCACCACTTGCTTCTCTGTTTCTGCTTGCACCCAAATGCTACAAACTGATACAAACACGTTCCCGATAACTTCATTGGTCTAACTGTTCTGTTTCTGGCAGGCTCCAACAAATCTATTGGGCAGGGTTTTAAACCTTGCCTGAGCAAGCTGCTTTCTTCAAGTCTCTGGTAGCCTCTTCCAAGGTAAATCAGAGATTTTCTTATGCACTTGGACCAAACTACTGACAGCCAAAGGCTGCATTTCAGTACTAACAGTGACTGTCCCTTCTGGAACTATATTCTTACATTACTTAGATTCAGTATAGCTCCTCTGTTGTTTCAATGCTCGCATTTGAAGGAGATCATCGAATCAGAGGAGATGCAAGGGAACAGACACAGTGGCACATGTGTTCTTAAATTATTTTATTATTATTAAATAGTTGGAAACAATTTTTACTGTAAAATGAAAGCTACTTGATTTTTCCTATAATTTCTCATGACGAGAAACTTCATGTTAAACTACAGTAATTTGACAGGACTTTTGCTTTGAAACTATGATGATGACTTCTGCACTTTGTACCAGGACCCAGCTCTGAGTGTTCCCCTGTGCTAAGGTGCAGCCACAATGAGGTTATGTGCCAGGATCTGCTCAAAGGGAGCAACTTGCTGAATTGGGTTTTCGGCATCCTGTGTTAGAGGAAATGGAATTTTCTGTTCAACGATCTCATCTTAAGTGTCAGCAGCATTTTGGAATTAGCCATTTCAAAATTACTGTTCTGTTGGTCCAAAGTACAAATGCTGTGTACAGCACAACCACTTAACTGACAGCAGATTTAACCAACAATAGGTTCATTTTATACAGAAGCCATGATCAATAAAGTAACAAAGTGATTGAAGGTAAAAGATCCATTACAATCTACATACCACACAGACTATGCTGACAGATTGTGCCACACACTCTCAAAGAAACTGCGGAACCACCTGATCAACATCCTACACAGCAAACAGGGAAAGATTAAGAATGATCTCTCAAAACTGGATACTCTCATAAAAAACCAACCTTCCACACAAACTTCCTCGTGGCTGGACTTTACAAAAACTAGACAAGCCATTTACAACACACACTTTGCTTCTCTACAAAGGAAAAAGGACACTAAACTATATAAACTACTACATGCCACAAGGGGCCACAACAGTGGTTCCCTTGACCCACCCAACAATATTGCTAATCTATCCAGCTATACTCTTAGCCCAGCAGAAGAATCTGTCCTATCTCAGGGCCTCCCCTTCTGCCCCTCCACCCCCACAAACATGATACAGTTCTGTGGTGACTTAGAATCCTATTTTCGACATCTCTGACTCAAAGAATATTTCCAACACACCTCTGAACAGCATACTAACCCACAGAGACCTTCCTACCAACACTACAAAAAGAAGCATTCTGGGTGGACTCCTCCTGAAGGTCGAAACAACAGACTGGACTTCTACATAGAGTGCTTCCACCGACTTGCATGGGCTGAAATTGTGGAAAAGCAGCATCACTTGCCCCATAACCTCAGACATGCAGAACACAATGTCATCCACAGCCTCAGAAACAACTCTGACATCATAATCAAAACGGCTGACAAAGGAGGTGCTGTCGCCATCATGAATAGGTTGGAATATGAATGA